GGTGCTGGTGCTGATGGTGGTGGTGGTGGTTGTGCTGCTGCCACTGCTGCGGCTGCTTCGCTCCAGGAGACAAACAATGAACATGGAGTAAAAACGATGTGTGTCCTACAGAAGCGCAGCGCCAGTGCTGCTTTCTTTCTGAGTGTCGCGCCTGCCGTTTCAAAGACATGTTCTTTGTGCTGCAGTGCCTGCTCAAAATCATGCTTGCATCGAAGCACTGCCTACTCTGCTAGTCTGATGTTCAGCATGTTTGATTCTGAGAGCCCTCCGGCCACAAGTGCACGTATTGACCGGGTCCCGAGCTAGGGGCCTGCACCTAACTTTCACGATGGTGTCGCGATGGGAATGCAGAAAGCTGATGTGTACTGGAGGATCGCAGCTTGAAGTCTGAAGAAGCCCTGGTAGCTGTCTTATTCAGAAGACATTCTTGCGATTGATGCCGAGATGCAGGCAGAAGACACAGCTGGTGCGAGATTGGGGGCGGCAAAGAAGATGGCAGCAGGTGGACTGGATAAAAGATGGTGAGGTGACAGACTTGACATCATGAAATATCGGTTCTTCTTGTTCTCCTTTTTTGTTTCTGTCATATCCCAGTCCCAGTCAAAACGCCATTGTCACAAGGATCGTTGCCCTCTTCGTCCCTTGCCACCACCAGCCCCAGCACCGTTCACAACGACATGTTCATCATGCTCCTCCTCCTCCTCCTCCTCCTCCTCCTGCTCTTCGTCGCCGTCGTAAGCCCCACCATCTTGATCGGCATTGTCACCATCAAGTCCAGCATTGAGTATTATTATGCTCGTCAGCATCAACAGCCGAAACGGTGTCAGCAACAGAAGCCTTGAGCGTTAACTGCGGCAACATCATCTGAGAATCTTTCATGCTATCAAGCTCCCAAGCTTCACGAACTGTCATTGACAACTCCTGTGTTCGACAAACATTGCTGGGTGGAGTCCTCGGCAGTGTCGGCAGGAGAACATGCCTTGTCTGCCATTCCGATGTGCATGTTTTTGTGGATGTATGTGGATGTTCCTGCCAGTTTGCTTTTTTTGGTAATCTGTCTTGAGTCTTTGCCGCATGTTTGTCGGTGGACGGATTAATGAAGATAGGGTGTTTCCCGTAATAGTAGCCACTTGCACAGACCTTGTGCTGCTCAAACAATTCTGTCGATGCTTCTGCGTGCAGAGATGCACAACTCGGCCAGGCTGAACAAACGGAAACACGAAGTGAGAGCTTCAGGCTGCCGCCCTTTTCCTTGCGGAGTGGGACACGGACCAGCTACCCGACCTCCGTGCCTGCAACGCCTTGAGGCTTCATTGATTTAGTAAATTTAGTAGCTTTGCATGGCCATCCAGGGCGTTTCTGTCGGAAGCCGCGGGCTGCAGTACAGTGTAGTCGGAATTCGTGTCGGAGGAGGTGACATTTTATGTGCTGAGGCAAGATGATGCAATTGGAGATTGATAGCTGTATCGCAAGTCAGCCGCGAAAATTAAGGCTAGGGCATTTGCAGAAACAGCTCACGTAAAAGAGGATAGAATCGGGACCGCATCTGTGGTACTTGCAGTTTCAACCTAAGGCTTGTGCTCAGACCTTTGCCTGCAGTGGTCGCTGGGAGGAGATCATTCAGCTGTTCGCCACTCCAGCGAATTGTGTCTGTCTATCTGTAGCTTGTCGTAGTCAGCTCGTCCAGCCGATCTTGACTCCGCTTAGCCTCGTCAGATGGACTGCTCTGGTGTCTGGTCTGGTCATGTCTGTGCATCGCTTGGTTTTCGATCTTTTCTACGAAGGCATTCACGAATGGTGATCCGGTGAATCGCCCAAGCAGGGTGCAAGAGATTGCGGTTTAGTACAGCAATGGGACACCGCCAGGCGTGCATGGATAGCGCCAGCTTGTCGCCTGATGCGATCACTGCAACGGCCGCAGTAGGTGCTCTCGGAAAATCTGCGAGGCGTTCTGGGTAGGCAGAGGGCGGCCAATCACCACTCGACCAGCTGTCAGATCATGCTACATGTCCAATTGGGCTCGAACAGCCACTGCTGCGAAGTATGAGGTTTCTCATCCCTACATCGTCCAGTCAGCCTGCCTACCACTGCAGATGGTCCACCTGGTCCCTTCTACTTTCTGTCGCACTACCTTTCTTTCACTTGATTTTACATCTCCATTTCGCTAGGATGTGCTTACGCATTCTCAGTTATTCATCCGGAGGTGGCAGTTGGCATTCTGGCTTCTCGACGACCTGCAGCTCCTGGACACAAAAGTCTGCAACCCCAACAAGCTGGTCTTTGGCAGTAAACCACAGTAAATCTCCTACAGGCGCACGTCTCGGCAAAGAGGAAGCTCAAAACGAGCAGAGGAGGCTTTTTGAGTTTCCCAAGGCAGGGTCGCCTTGCCGCAGATTCCTGGCTTCTGGCCGCAGCTTCGGCAGCTGCCGCAGCTTCCGGTGCATGGCACCTTGGATGTGCTTCCTTACGAAGATTCACTTCATGATGCAAGCAGCAATCTTTAGACTGTACAGATCTGCTCAGGGAGGCTTCCTTGATTTTTATCGACGAAAGCTTCTCGGCAATGATCTTTGTACAAGTTCAGAAGTGAAAGTGGCGGCAGAAAGGAATTCGCCTTGGTCGTCGTGCTGAGGTGCCGAAGTCGTTACGTACAGTTCAGCATCTTGGCTTGCCAGTTGTGGGTGAAGCTGGGACCGAAGCGAATGCCTTCTTCAGGTCATCACCGCTTGCGAGCGAGGGGGTCAGTGGCAGCGAGCACTGCTCCTTTTCCATCAGATGAAGGTCGAGGCCGCGGCCAGCGTCAGATTCGGACACTTTTGCAGTGCAACCGTTCTGCAGGGCGTGGAAGCAAATGTCGTCACCTACAATACTGCCATGACTGCCTGCGAGAGGGGCCCCTCGAACTAAGATGTACAAGTAGCTCTGCTTCTGTGTGGGCATTCTCAATTCATCAATAAGTGCAAATTATTAGCTTTCTACAGAGATCCGACCTTGGTGCGCAAGACATCCAAGGCAGTCATTGGCCCGGCTCTTTGGAGCTGTTTGATGAAATGGAGGACAGACTCGGAAATAGGATGTGTAGTGCGACGGATGATGCTGTTGTTGGCTGTCCTTCAGTCCAATCACCTGGTCTACCCATAATTGTGTGTCTCGTAAGTACCACAATGGTTGCTTCAAGGCCACAGGAAGAGTTGTCAAACTTTTGGAAAGCAAACGGCACTTACACGGATGTTGGCCCTCGTGTGTGCGAGGTGCCGAGACGAATTTGCCATGCACGCCAGGCATGCATGGACCAACTCGTGGCACTTCTGCGCTCAGGAGCACAAGCTCTTGCCCACCGTAGTCACCTGGCCTGTGCAATTCAAACTAAGCCCTCGCCGGTCGATATCAGTGCAGGCCCGGGCAGTGAAAACGAAACTCCATGAACCTTCTCCTAGTCTCCTCGGCGGAGCTAACCTGCAAAGGAGCTGTTGGCAGATAATCATCATGACTTGGCAGCCCGTGACCCGAGGTGTCTTTTGGAGCTGCCATCAATGCTTGTGGCCAAGGGCAGTCGTGGGAGACCCCGGGCCCAAATCTGGAGAACAAGCAGCGTTTTTGTATGTATCGCCAGGAGCTTTCTATATGTCTTTTCGTGTAAGCTCGAGATGGGATCGAAGGATCAATGGGCCGTTGCTTTTCAGGAGAGTCCTCGCCTTCCTCGCGAAGATGCGAGACAGCGCCCCGCAGCAGTCTTTAAGCCTGATTCTTCCTTGCCGATTTCTAGCAGGTGTAGGAGGCTGTCCGTGCTTCATCGGAGAAGTTTTTTTCTTGCTGCGCTCCTTCCGTAGCACTAGACGAGGCATCTTTGACGAGGCTGCACCTTGAGACTTCCTGAGAAGATCAGGCTTTTTTTCTGTGCAGCCGAGGACGTTCGCGGGAATCGTGTCATTTACACCGGATCCATGGATGCCTTGAGCTCTGCAAGTCAGTGGCAGCTCCTCGTCACCTTTCAGCTTGGTTCCTGTATGGGACGTAGGCGATGGTTGCAGGGCTGTTGGTGGTTTGATTCTGCAGCCTCTTGTGCCGGGGCCTGCTCGCACTCGTGCGCTACCTGCGACTTGATGGGTGCAATGCTGGTTTTGGCAGCGCCTGCTTTAGCAGACAAAACCGACAACGCGGCAAGAGGTACTGTCCGAGAGGTCCTATCCTTTCTTGAAGTGCTGAAGGCCATTGCGCCATGTTGTGAAAGATGGCTGCAGCCATGGACCCAAAGGCGTTGAAAGCGGGTGCTGTGCCATCTGCAACATGGACGAAGCAGGCTTGTCCTCGCAGCCATGCTGCCATCGTGCACTCATCAGCATTAGGCCCGTGTGTTCTGGCCTTTGCTTGTAGAGTGATAGAGCGCAGGGTGAGAAAGGAGAATGCCTGGACTCACTACTGGCCCGTATGCTCGAGTCCAGTTCGAGGGCCGTGCGGGCACTGAGGAGCTCATGGATGTTGGCACGGGGTGGCAAGTCAGGGACGTCGAACGTCGAACGCTGCCGATGACCGGAGAACGAACTTTTTGGCAGAGCACAGTCCCATCCAGCATGGACTCGAAAGGTGTCGCGAGCATTCATGGCTGCACGGCCATCTATGCAGCGATAGAGCACATCATCTCCTCCGTGCTAGCTGCCAAGACTCCAAGACCCCATTTCGAGTCTCTCTCTGCCAAAGGCCGTCCGACAGACGGACGTGTACTCCGCATTCAACAAGGGGGCAATGACCTGGGCCCTTATATGATGTCCAAGACGAACGCTGAAGACGTGCTGACAGGCTTCAAACGACTTCAATCATGTGGTGAAAGCCTCGCAGCGCACGGCTGATCTAACTGACAGCTTGACTGCTGAATTTGTGCACAGCATGTGAGTCGCATGTTTTCATACCAGTTTCATACATTGTCTGAACGTATATGAATACCCCGTTTGAAGTGTAATTCAATGCAAATCACACATTGGGCTGGCGGTACGAGTTCGATTGTGGGTTCCAAAATCTGTGTGAGTGAATAGCGGCCAGATTTCGCCAGATGTTAGTTGCTTGTGCCTTGGATAGCGAGGCTGGCTCTGCTTCTCTGGGATGATCTCCGCAACGACCCTGGCAATCAAATTGTTCCTTGCGCTGATTGATTACATTGTCTTGATGTCTAGGTTATTTTTTTTTTGGACGCTGCTGGCACAGCGGTCCATCATGAGATCAAATGCGTCGTGCTTACCGTGTTTGAAGACCTTCCGTTGACTTTCGAGTGGTTCCAGTCAAGCGATATTGCGATAGATCGTCTGTGTACCGGCAATTCCCCAAAGCCTGACAAACAAAAACAGTGTATATATATATATATACATACATACATATATGTATATATATACACACATGTATATGGGAGGTTCTTAAAATTGGGGTACGGCACCCTTATGAAAAGGACTCTGAAAGGGACCGGAACTGAGAGAACTGCCATGAACTGCCCATACAGCACAATATAGCACATCCTTTTCGTGAAAACGTTTGGAGCATTCGCAGGAAGAGAGATGTTGCAGCGTCAGGGTTTGGTTGTGCATCTCGCACGGATTGCGTTCGAGGATGCCGCCTCTTTCAGCATTGCCATGGGTGCTTGGGCTTGCGGCACGCACTGGCAGCAGGTGGCTCCTAGTGCATGTCACGGCTTATTGATATGTTCGGGCGGATGGCAAATGACGGCTGGTTCGTCAAGTTGGAGTAGCTGTCTGCCGACTTGGTTTCAAGTACAAGTTGCGTTCCGAATTCTTAACATGTCAACATTTCAGACCGTGCCTTGTGTTATGTGGCAGGCTCTATCGCTGCTGCATGTGGCTTGACTATGATACTGGCCGGCTTCGTTGGCTGCGACCAAAACCCTGGCCGTTCGAGCGCACGACATTTGCATTTCGTCGCTCTCGCGAGTGCTCTCTGAGCAGCCGCACCCAGAAGCGTCGAGTCATCAGGTGCTGGATACTCGCGGCGGGATCGATGCCGCAGCGCAGGTCTCGGCTCTGGGTGCGTTGGCAGCTGCTCAGCAGTGGGAGGCCGACTGCCCCTCTCAAATTTGCCTCCCTCTCTCAATGCACCTCACATAAAATGATCCGGGAGTGGTCTTAGATCGAGGGTGGAGGGAGTGCACACGGCAGTCCATAGGTTTGCTGCCGAGATCTGTATCCGAGCAGGTGTCGGTGTGCTTGCTGTGCAATGCCGAGGCTGGGAGCTCAAGCTTAGCTTAGCTTAGCTGTATTTGTAGTTTTGCAGGCTGCCTGCCACACTGGCGCCTTGCGCCTTCACAGTCCTAATTGCTGAGTACATGAGCTGGCACAGAAAAGGTCAAGGCTTTGATTGCAGGTTCGTGCGACCTAGAGATCAGTAGGAGCCGACTGGTCGAAGTTGCCTTGCCATCGCAGAAGTCGCCGGGGGCGGCGGTGGTAGCAGCTGCCGGGCTGAGTGCTGTAGCAGCCGCGCAGAGATGGGAGGTGGTGCTGCGGCTACTGGAGGAGAAAGTTGTTCATTGAATGACTGAAGTGACTGAAGCTCCGTGCAGGGAAAAGCATTTGGCAATGACACGAGCTTGAAGCTGCTGCTCAGAGGACGAGACACTCCAGTGTGCAGATGATGCCGTTGCATACGGCCCTTGGGCTCGCAAAGTTAGGCATGTGGCATTGACTGTGTGATTGGGCCTTGCCGGTTTCCACTTTTCGATGCGTGACAATGCTTGCCTTCCCGAGGTGTGGCCATGACATGCTGTGGTAGCACAGGTAGATGGGAATGGTCTCTCGAGCTCCTCCGACGTCTCAAGGCTTGCTCTTGAATCTGCTTGCTGACTTTGTTCGGATGTGTTGCAGGTGGCAAGCATTCGGTCAAACAACGTGATCTTCAATGCGGCGATCGCTAGCTGCGATGCCAGCGCAGAGTGGCAGCGAGCGCTTTCAATGCTGGAAGACATGAGGCAGGCCATTCAGCTCGAACAGGTTGCAGCGGAAGCAGCACAATGAGGAAGACCATTTGGCTTTGGCTCCTTCGGCTTTCCCATTGCAAGTCTCAAACGTAGAGGACAGAGGCCTTTAACCTGGCCGGGGGGCTGGCAAGCGCTGTGGGTTCCGAGACAGAATTGGGCTTCGATTCTCTTGCCTGGAGGACGTTGCGCCAACGCAAGTAGCTACCGAATCGATATTGTGGGAGCAGCAGTTTCGCTGGTGACATCAGCAACAGGAGAACGAGGAGGAAAGAAGTGGTTGTGGTAGTGGTAGCAGTGGTATCATAGCTGGTACCGTAGCTATAGCTTTAGTAGTAGTAGTAGTAGTA